GGGGGGGGGGGGGGGGGGGGGGGGGGGGCTCTACAGCCCCAGATCCTCCTGTTTATAACTCATGGGTGAAGGTGACGGCTCTGGGTCTCCATCAGTGTTACTGTGTTTCCCACGGTGGGGTGCTCCCAGCCAGCCCCCCAACTCCTGTGGTGAGATAGCCAGGCCAAAATGGTGCTGTGGAGGAGCTGGTCGGTGCCTGGGTTCAAGCCCCTGTGGGAGTTACAAGTGCCAAAAAGGTGTCTCTTTCACAAGTTCCAAAGAAGCTGCCATTGCTCTGTTTAGAGGAGGAGGAGATTTAAAAACAAACAAACAAACAAACAAATAGTAAGCAAAAAACTTATATGTTTGCAGGGGGCAGGAGAGCATCTCTCTCCCCTTTAGCCTGAGAGCACAACCGAGCAGGCCAGGGCTTTGAAACAGTGGGTCGAGAATGCTCTTAAGAGAAAAGCTGAAAGGTCATGCATGGACAAAAACATTAGAAGTAAGATAAATTTTGAAAGCTTTGCTATAAAAACAAAGTAAAGCAGACCAAAGAGATCCCGAGGAGTAATTGCAGCAATGTTTACATCTGGCAGTAAACTATTTGTTACAATATGCAGAGCAGAAAGACACTCAGAAAAACAATTACAGAAAACCAAACTTCTTTTATTTTTGCGTCTACGTGCACAATAGAGAAGCTGGGGAAACTTGCTGGGTGATCTGTCTGAAATGCCAGTGTTGATAGCAGGAGACAGGCGATAAATAGCGGAACAGAACAGCACGACATTGCCAGGCATGCAGTGAGCAAGGCTGTGCCACTGCCCCTGGGGCACCAGCCTTTCCTGAAAGCTTCTGGGTAGGGAATTACAGGCATGTAAACCCAGACTGGAACCCACCAAATTAGCAGAAACTGTAATAAGGAGCAGAATTTGTGGTTATGTGGCCCCTGAGAAAGAGACAGCTGAGTTTGCGGTGGGAGAATCTCTGGGATGGCAGCAGAGGATGCTAGGGAAGACCCAGTCGACACTGCCCGCCTTGGTTCCTGGAGAAAACTGGAAAAATTCCCTTTCAAAGGTTCTTTGAGAGAAACTTTGCACCCAGGGGATGGCAGGAGAGGTCTTTGCATGGGTAAATAACTGGCTAAAAGAAGGGAGAGCGAGAGAAAAGGAGTGGTCCTTGTCACACGGGGGAATTCCCACCAACTCCCCCCAGCATGGCAGAAGGTCTCTGCAGGGACCTGTGTCACTGGCTGTGGGTACAAAGAAGTGAACAAGCAGCTATGCTGGCTGCTGTCCCTGAGCTGCCTGGGAAGACAATGGGATGACAGAGAAACAGGGAATAGAGGCACTCTGGGAGGGCTGCAGCGATGGAGTGACAGATAAATCGGTGTGGGCAAAACACAAAGGGCTGTGTTTGGAGATCCCCAGGGAACTGTTGGCTCTTGTTCCAGGGAGTGAGCTGGAGTGAGACAGAATGGGGGCCACATCTGTGTGCCCTTTACAAGGGACTGCCAAGTCCACGGAAGAAAGATCCCAACTGGAGGAATAGGTGGGGAGGCGATTCTGGGAAATTATGAAGAAGTGTGACCTGCAGTGCCCTTTCCCCGGCGTCTGCTGCATGTGCTGCTTCCTCTGGTCCTTGGCCTCAGTGGGGTGGGACACAAGCTGGATGTGTTTTAGCTCCAACCCGGTGTGGCTCCTTCTAGTGAGTGCAAGCTGGAGTACTGCCAGGTCCGAAAGGCAGCAGCCGCCTGTGTCCTCCTTTGTGTCTGTCCTGGCACGCCCAGGGCTTGGTTTCCCAGGCCTTAAGGTATTTATAGCCCTGTTTGTGCTCAAGCTGGGGTCTGGCTGACTCACATTAATACTCCAGGAGCTCAGTGCTGCTGCACGCCCCAGCACCTGGGGAATCAGGGAAACAGCTGTGACAGTGTGGCAGGTCCTGGGGGCTGGTGTGCAGCTTCCCACCTGCCTAATTCTCCCCACCTGCCCGTTCTGTGCCTGCCTGCAGCGCTCCACAACTCCTCAACCAGCAGCAGGCAGAGTGCACCACGCAGGCTTGTCCCCAGATGTCACATCCCCAGACTGCTGCCACCAGCATCCCATGGTGGGCTGGTCAGAGGGCAGGGTGCCCCATCCCATTCCTTGGTGTCTGCCCACACAGACTGGAGGGGCCAGGAAGGAAGCCCTGCCCCTGCAAAACGCTTGAGGGGGTCCTGGATCCAGGAGTGGACCCAGGAGTGGGAGATGTGTCATGACATCCCAGGAGAAGCATGTGGTGGGTGCTGGGCTGTGCCAGTAGGTGTCTTGGGGTGAATGGTCTGCAGGTGTCAGCGCTGCCCTTGGGCCCTACTGCTCAACCTCCTCCTCTTCTGCAGCTGACCTCTTCCCAGTGAAGGCCACGCAGTCTGTGAATGTTGCCGAGCCAGCCACCTTCTCTGCCAGGATCCTCAAGAGGAAGGAGATGGAT